TCTGCCCTGCTGGGTGAGGAGGGTGGGGACTGCGCCGGGAACACCGCGTCCTCGCCGGCTCCCGCGGGGCGGCTCCTCCCGCGCCGCCTTACGTAACCCGCCGCCGCACGTTCCCAGTTGGGACGCCCGCCCGCCGCCGCGCCCGCGGGTGCCAGGCTCTCGGCGCCGCGTCCCGAATTCTGACTCTAGCGCCGGGAATGGGCGGGTGCCTGACCCGCGGGCTACGCCTCGTCCACTGTCGGTTTCTTCAGTCGTCCCCGGGAGAAAATGCGGGAGGCTGGGAGGGTGGCACGTCCGGGCAGCCTCAGCTCTCGGCTGCCCTCGCAGTGTGAGGCACAGGGGGAGGAAGGCAGCAGGTTCAAGGACTGCGGTGGACAGAAGCTCCGACTGCGACGCCACCACAAGGGGGCAGCCGGGTTCCGATTAGGGCCCCGAGGGTGGGGGGTGCGCCTGCCTTAATTGCTCCCTGGAAAAGGCCCGGGTAATTTTTTGTTTGTTTGTTTTTTGCGGGGGGAGAACTTTAACAGTGAATTCTAGGTGGCTTTTAATATTTTACATATGTTGAATAATATGCTCACGAAAAGAGCTCTCTGCAACCCTCAGCTGTCCCATTAACACCCTACAGAATAAATCAAAGCCCCGGAGCTTGAGGGAATTGCGAACTGTGACAAGCCTGCCAGTGGGCGCTCTTCTCCATCCGCAATGTCACGTTTGTCGTGGCCCATCACTCCCTCCAGCAGGGTCACCCCCGGCTGCCTTTCTCACCTGCCCACCCCACGACCTCGTGCTCTCTTTAGTGTCGCGGTTTAGAACAGACCCTCAGAGGAGTGGAGTAGCCAGGTTATTCATTTATTTTTCTTCCAATTACCTCTTCCCAAACCCCATCCAAAGACTCCCAGCAGCCTTCTCCTAAAAAGGCAAAGAAAGGACACAAACAAAAAACAGGATCAGCATGCCACCAGTTTTCATAAGCTCGACTGGGTTTCCCCACCACACCTCCTGGCTCTTATTAGAGTCCCAGCTTTCATTCCTTGCGGTATTACAGGTCTCTCCTCTTCCCTTTCCCCGCCCACTTCCCCCATATTAGGCAGCTGCACCGTCTTGCGACTCTGAACTTTGCCTCTTGACTGGGCAGTGTTGTGAGGTCCCGCCCATGTTGCTCTCTGGCACCTGTTAAGCCGTGAAGGGAGCCAGCCCAGCAGGAACCTTGATTCCCCAAGCGCTGCTGGAAACCCAGGAGTTCTTTCCTACTTTGGCTCTAAGAGACTCCACTTCAGAAAATATAATGACTCTTGAACCTTCCCTGGTGGCGCAGTGGGTTAAAGCGCAGAACTATAAAGCTAGCCACAGCCGCTTCAGCAAAAGTTGGATCCAGACCAGGGAGGTGACCCACATGGCACAGCAGACGGCTCCTGTCTCACCCACTGCCCCCTCAGCAGTTTACTACAGTCAGTCGGCCTGTTCTGCTCCCCACTCTGTCTCTGGCGAAGCCTCTCACCGCCCCTGCACCTCTGGCCTGTAGCCCAGTTCTGTGTGCATAAATAAATAAATCTTTGTTTAAAAGAAAATATAGTGACTCTTGTTAAAACATCTTTGCCCCAATAGCACCATCTTTTAAATGTGCTTCCTCTTCCTTTAAGCACTGACAATTGACCGAGCTGGAAACACTAGCCAGAGACACTGGTAAAATTTGCTTCAGAACAGCCCCACCCCCCAAGCCAGTGACTGCACTCTCACCTTCTACATGAAATACATGCCCCCCTGAAGGAGGACACAGGACAGGAGGAGGGCAACGGGGCTCCACAGACCGGATGCAGCATTGTGCAGACCTGGGTGCTGCTGAAATACAGATACCCCCAGGATCCACCAGGTCATCCTTCCGACTCTGCACCTCCCCCTTCACAAAGGTCCCTACAGGAACCTCAGTGCGTTCTGCTCAGAGGCTAGAGGAAAGTCCTCCCACCACCCTGTGAAGCCCTTTCCTCTGTGTTTTTAGCCACTCTGGAGCATGCCGGGGAGTCCAGACTCCAGTCAGCATATTTTCCTGTTGCGTACGTGAATGCCGGTCACTACAGGCATTCCCGTGCTACAGGGGAGATCCTTGCGTGTTAAGACAGGGCCCTGGGCCTCCCTGTGGTGCAAGGGGTTAAGTCTCAACACAAGGAAGCTATCTGTTGACACTGCAGCACAGTCAGGGAGTGACCCCAGGGTGCAGCAGACTCTCCTGTCTTCCTGCTGACCCCTCAGCAGTGGATTTCAGTGGATTTGCTTGTTCTGCTCCCCACTGTCTCTGGGGAGTCCTCTCACCCCCCCCCCACCTCGGGCCTCCACCCCAGCTCATTAATACATAAGCAAATAAATCATAAAAAATGCAAATTTCAGCCTGACCCTTATCTTGCTATGTGTGAAATGACCAAGCAAATATTAGGCTTTTAAATTCTGCTTTTTTTTTTTTTAATACGTGTCACTGTTCCTTTCTATACATACTCTCCTTCCCTCACACCCCATTCATTAGACACGCCAGAGGCTTGTTCTAGCCCCTCTGCTGTGCATTCTTCCACTCTTGGAATTTTTCCTCCTAATCCCTTCATCCTTTCATAACTGAGAGCTCACCTGTTCTTCACAGTGTAGCTCAAACACACCGCCTCCCACCTCCTGAAAGTCTTGGGGACAACTCCAGCTCCTGCTGCCTCCTACCGCCTAGGCACAGCTATGCTGTGTCAGCTACTCTAAAGTTTACATGTGAATGAACACTGTTACAAACCTGTTCCTTTGGTCTAAATGTTTCATAGTGTAAATCTGAGTTTTAGAAATGCTCTGAGTTTCAGACGGTAATGCCGTCTGCAGCCTTAATGCTTTACTCGCTGGTTCCATGAGCATTGAGAACCTCCGCACGGAAATTAACCCCACAGGATACAGGTTTACAGTAAATCTCAGGGGAGATACAATGTGTCTGCTGAATCTCCCGGGAAGAGACAGTGTCTCCGCCCAGATGAGCGGCTGGTGGGTCCCTACCCACCTGCCCACCCAGGGCGAAGTCCCAGGTGGCTCCGCTCCCTCCCTTGCTTCTCACCAGTCAACTCACCATGGGATTCACCATGGGATTCGAGGTCCCTAGTTTCACCGTTGTGCGTTCCTGACGGTCTGTACCTTCTGTTTCAGGACTAATGGTAGTAGTCTCTGCTGTTCCTGTGACCTCCTTTTCCAGCCTGTTCTGCCCTCGGAAGGAATCGAAAGCAGCGTCATGACTTCCACCTGCTACCCCACAGAGACCACCTAGTTCTCACCCCACCCCCAAGCTCCTTCCTTCCTACCTTCTTTGGCTTGGATGATGTCCCCATCCCACTCTCTGTCCCTCCCTCTTGGCTCAGCAAACTGGCTGGCTTCCGCTTTCGTTCTCCTCCTCATCTGTCCTTACCAGTCTGTTGTGAGTCCACTACCTAGTTTTGCTTCCTGTTAATCACACTCATTTCAACATTGCCCAACTTAATATGAGCCGTTACCTATCCAGACCCTCTTCAGAGGGTCACTCACCAGCCTGTCTTCTGACTCAAACAGGGAGTAATCGACAGTGAAATTTACAGCATAGTCATCTGGGGAGGAGGAAAACAATCAATAGTACCAAAGGAGAAAGGCAGCACTGTATCAGAAATGAGAAGATGAAGGAACTCCTTCCTGTGAAGGAAGAATACTTCACTTGCTTCGTTTGTGAAATGGACTTAGTGGTGGTGCAGGGTTAACTCAGCACTATGAAGCGCTCAGCAGCCACTGTGGCCTGAGTCTGATCCCCAGCCAGGAAGTGACTCCAGGGCGCAGCAGACCTCTCCTGCCTCCCTGCTGCTCCCCTCAGCAGTGGATTTCAGTGGATTTACCTGTTCTGCTCCCGGCTCTGTCTCTGGGGGAAGTCTCTCACCTCCAACCACACACTACCCGTACTCCAGTTCTTGTATGCATAGAAATAAGTCTTTTTAAAAAATGTACTGGTGGGCCAATGGGTTAAAGCGCAGCACTATGAAGCTGTCTGCAGTCGCTGCAGCACGAGTTCTATCCCTGGCCAGGGAGCGACCCACAGGGCATGGCAGATCTTTCCTGACTCACCTGTTGCTCCCCTCAGCAGTGTATTTCAGTCAATCTGCCTGTTCTGCTCCCCACTCTGTCACTGGGGAGTCCTCTCACCACCCCTGCTCTTCTGACCTGTACCCCAGGTCTGTATGCATAAATAAATAAATTTAAAATAAGCAAATTAATAGTCTCATTTATTTATGCATACAGACCTGGGGTACAGGTCAGAAGAGCAGGGGTGGTGAGAGGACTCCCCAGTAACAGAGTGGGGAGCAGAAAAAGCAGATCTGAAACTGCTGAGGGAAGCAGCAGGGAGACAGGAGAGGTCTGCCGCGGCTGTGGGTCAGCTCCAGGGTCAGGGATTGAACACACGCTGAAGCGGCCGCACACAGTTCTGTGGTGCCGCAAGGGAGGGCCTGGTCTCATCTAATTCTGATGAACTTTAATGTTTACAATGTTGGTGAATGTGTTTGCACTTATATTTCCACTTTGATATCTGATAGAGTTTACACGTTTGAAAGTTTCCAGGTTATTTCAACCAGTTTCCAAAGATTTGAAAAATAACACATGAGGCTTGATAGTCTTCCCACAGCCAAAGTCTCTCTAACCAGCTGCTGCATTGTGAAGGGAAAAGACAAAGTCCAGGACGAAGCACCCCCACACCTCCATCTACCCAGTTAAGGGTCAGCGCCTCACTCACACTCACCATAAAGGGGGGTAACCGTGTAATAATACGTGATATCATAGTAATCGATCTTCTCCAGACCTTCATCCTCATATTCTTGACCTGTAGAGACAGGACTACAGGTCAAGCAGCAGCTAGAGTTCCTCAGGAGTCTAGTTCCCCCTCAGGGGTCATACTCTCTTCTCACTGCTGCCCCTCCAGTCCTCCTCAGACTCTGGGCTCCACGTCTGTGAAGAGACTCATTACTCAGTGCTCACCCAGCCAAGAGCTCCTGGGGTAGAAAGTGGGTCCCTGCACTTACTGTAAGCCCCCACAGGGAACTAAGCCCCAAACACAAGCAGGCAGTAGAGCGATCCCAGTTAAGAACAATAAACTATTCATGGGGTGTGTGCCAGACCGTGTCGTGTTTGCGAGAGAGATGTCCTCACCAGCGTCTCACAAACAGAGACACACAGCACACGCTTTGGGGTTTGCATTTTAGCAGCAGCTTCACTGCTAATTGGGGGACAACTCTGACCAGCAACTTCGTACCCACTTTCCTAGCAGGAGTCAGCTGGACTAAACGATCTGTCCACAGTAGTTTTTCTTTCTTCCCAAGACTAAAACTACGAGGCTTTGACATGACTAGATGCAGAGCTCCAGGTCTCCGGAGCCCTCCCTGAGTGCCTAGAACGCTCTCCCTTCACCCCAGGATGACACAGAATCTGGAGGAAAAGGAAACAAGAGCACCTGGCAGATGGGGACAAAGGAGGGAAGGAACTAGACTACCTCTTTACTGCTCCAAAGGTCACCCCCACTTCTGTGTCTTTGCTGCTGCAAGATTTTCCCTCCAAGGTACCCCGAGTTCCCTGCTGGCTGCAGGCTGCCCTCCCTTCACAGAAGCCACCTCCTTCACTCCCTCCTGAGCCCCTTATTCTGTTCAGCTCTGCGCTGAGAGAGCTTTGTGCCAGGTTGGGGTGACCTCCTCATCAGCCCACTCTTCAAGGCAGGACTTCATTTCCTCCCCCTTTCCTGGCCCGCTCTCCAGATCCCTCTTCTGCCCCAACTCTGGGCCCTAGCCCAGATAAGAGTGGTGGTCTCGCTTCTCCTTGAGTTGTCCCATCATCTTCTGGAGTTATCTCCCCACCCCACTTACGACAGAAGGCCTCAGAGAAAAGCGAACTTACCAAGGACAAGTGGCACAGCAAGGGTGACTAAAAACAGGACATCCATTCTGGATTCTGTGCTACTGAGAGTAGAGAAAGGAAATGACAGCGTTTCCCACCAGCTCACCCCGCCTCCTCCTCAAGCCGGAGGGAGCTGCAGCAACTCTCTCAGGCCCTGGAAATCCCCGCCCAGGCATCTTCAGTTCTGCTGAAGGCCCCAGTCGCCCGCCCATGGTGGCCCAGCCTAGAGCCCAGACTGCTACATGGCAGTGGAGGTGCACAGTTAGCTCCTCCAACCTAGAACAGACCCACCCACGCGGGATCCCCGCTGCTCCCCAGCTGGCCCCCGAGCCTGCCTCCCCCAGGCTCCCAGAGCACACCTTCTCCCTCAGCGTTCCCAGCCACAGTCGCCTTCCTTCTGAGGCTAATGACAGTCTCTCTTCAGTCAGGATGTGCTGAGGAAGAGGCACACTGCGTCTGTCTCTCTGCCGCCTGTCTTGGTCAGAGTGAGCAGCAGCTTCAGGGCTGATTCTCAAGGCCCCAGTGCCATTCCTTCCCACAGAAATCTCTCAATTGGACCCTCCCTGTGGCGCAGCCGGTGAAAACGCAGCACTGAGAAGCTCAAGCCACCTCAGCACGAGTTCAATCCCCACCCCCGAGGTGACCCACAGGGCGCAGTAGACCTCTGCTGACACGCCCGCTGCTCCCCTCAGCAGTGTCCTTCGTCAGTTGGCCTGTTCCACTCCCCACTCTGTCTCTGGTGAATCCTCTCATCGCCCCTGCACCTCTGGCCTGAACCCCAGTTCTATATGCATGAATAAATAATAAAAATATATTTTAAAAAAAACCTCCATCAATGCCAGGTATTTCCTTTTTTGGTAAACGCTGATCTCACGTGACCTCCACAGCTGCAGACACCAGGGTAGGAGAAGAGAAAGCAGCTAGTTTCAATCTGCTGTGAGGGCCAGACCCTTCTGCTTTCAGTCATGCGTGTTTCAGACCACAAGGGTAGAGTTTGTCTTTTTTTTTTAAGTTTCCAAATCTTACTGGTTTCCAGAAGAAAATAGGGCCTCCCTGATGGTGCAGGGGTTAAAGACTCAGCTCTGTGAGGCTGTTCCAGCCACTGCAGCTCAAGTTTGACCCCTGGCAGGGAGGGACCCCAGGGCGCAGCAGACCCTTCCTGTCTCCTCATTGCTCCCTGCAGCAGTGGATTTCAGTGGATCTTCCTGTTCTGCTCCCCACTCTGTCTCTGGGGAATCCTCTCATCCCTCCACACCTCTGGCCTGCACCCCAACTCTTGTATACATAAATCTTTGAAACATGGACAGCATCTTCCCCCTCAGCAGGCGGGGGTCGGGAGAGGGGGGAGGGCCCCAGGAGGAAGCCCGCCATGCTCCCTGTGGTCCCCTGCAGAAGCTAGAAGGGGTGCAGCCACCTTCTCTCAGGCTCTGAGATGACTTCACCCAAGGGAGTCCAGGGAGTCAGCAGAGAGCAGGAAGCTGAGCAGCCAGGGCCTGAAGGAAGGTGGGCATAGGGTCCAGGATGAGCTATCACCAGGGGAGCGTCGTGGTTGAGGGTTTTGCAGCTGGTGTCACCAGAAAACTGGACACGGAGACGCTACCATCCTCTGTAGAGCTGTGCCAAGCTGAGGGAGAGCAGCAGAGGCCGCCAGGCCTCTTCAGCCCGAGTGGGAGCTGCACCTGCCCAAGGTCTGCCCAGCTGCTCCTGTCACCCCTCGGCGGGCCCAAGGCAGGGCACACTTGCTGGTCTGGGCTCCGCAGAGGCTTGTCAGGGCAGCCCGAGGGGGCGGCGCTCAAGTCCAGCTGCCCACAAGCCAAGCTGCTCCGTGACACTGGTCCCCGCCTTGGCATTGGGCCTCTGTGGGTCCAACATGTTGTTGTGGACATGGCAAGTGGAAGGCCCAGGAAGCGCTTCTTACCCCTCTCTGCTGTAGAACTTCCCTTGCTTTCCTCTCTCGCTCCTCTCCCAGCTGCCCGGTATTTTCCATCTTCCCTTCAGTTCAAGTCAGAAATATCAGTAATGTCTGGGCTGGGCTGGGCCTAGCCTGATAGGGCTTTGACAGCCGGAGAGGGCTTTCACGGCTCACAGGCAAGGGAATAAAACAAGATGTGTTACTTCCCCCCTTTTCCTGCTTTTTTCATGTAATTTTTAAACAGGGAAATAATACATCTCTATTTACATCTATTCTGGGCTCGGCTCTGTACACGCCTCTGTGGAGACACTTGGCTCTGGACCGGCACCTGCAGCAGGACCTGCAGTGGCTGCTCCGGGGAGAGGAGCCCAAGGCTCGGAGCAAGACCCCTGTGGCCTGGAGCCCGGCTGTGTCCCTCAGCCACACCGCCGGGCCGAGACTGACGTGGCCACGATGGAGCCTTCAGCGGTTCTCCAGGACCTCATGGAAAAATGTGAACACTCAAGTAGATCCACATAGGCCAGGAATTGTGCGCCACTCCCGGGAAGGAAGGGAAGCCTGGCTCTCTTTGAGCAAGTTCTGCCTTTCTCTTGGTATTTTCATTCTCAAAAGCAATATTCCAGATGCTCTTACTTTCCCATGCTGGTCCTCTCTGGCCTAAACATTCTTCCCAAGGACTGACCCTTTCTCCTCCAAGACCCTCCTCTCCTTTTTAAAAATAATTTTCTTTGAAAATTCAAACTCTGGGCCCTCCCTGGTGGCACAATGGGTTAAAGCGCAGCACTAAGAGGAAGCTACCTACAGCCTTCAGCAGGAGTTCAATTCCTGGGGGGGAGTGACCCACAGGGCGTAGCAGACCCCACCCCCCCTTCTCCCTGCTGCTCCCCTCAGCAGTGGACTTCCTCAGTTGGCCTGTTCTGTTCTGCTTCCCACTCTGTCTCCGGTGAATCCTCTCATGGCGCCTGCACCCCAGTTCCGTATGCATAAATAATAAAATCTTAAAAAAAAAACCAAGATTAAAAAAAAAAGTTCAAACTCTGCCCCTTCCTTCAGTCTGAGGAACAGACTCCACTGCGATTCATTTTCAGAAAACAGAGGATGTGTGACATAAAAGGAGCCGGTGATGGGTGTGTGGGTGAATGTCCATTTCCTTCAACCTCATTGCTCCGGTTGCTATTTTTTGGTTAAGGATTTATGCATACAAGAGTTAGGATGCAGGCCAGGGATGTGGGGGGGGTGTGGGAGGCCTCCCCAGAGACAGAGTGGGGAGCACAATAAGCAGTTATTGAAATCCACAGCTGAGGAGGCAGCTGGAGATAGGTCCTGGGGTCCCTCCCTGGCCGGGGATGGAACTTGCAGGGCGTGGCTGCGGCAGCTTCAGAGCGCCGAGACTGGATCCCTGCGCCCCCAGGGGGCCCGGCAGGCGCCGCTGCTCCGACTCGGAATCTAAACTCTGGAGCTCCCGGGACCCTCGGAGCCGCGTCGGGCTGTCTGGCTCCTTTCTGACTGCTCGTTCCAGGTGACGGCTATTGACCACACACTGCATGACACGTCTCCGAGCCTGTTCAAAGAGCTTCTACTTTTAAGCCTAACTTTCATCTCTGGGCAGTAGCTCAGGCGCATTTCCGCCCATTCAGTGGGAACAATACCCGTCCTATCTCGCGCACCCCCATCCTGTGCTCTTTGTACTTGGCCCTTAGGCTCCAACAGGAGCTTCCCTCCTCCGCAGCCCTTCAAGAAGAGGGAAGACGGCATGACCCGACCACCAAGTCACGTAAGGAAACCGCAGCTCCGGCCGAACCGAGCCCAGAGCCCGCGCCCGGGCCAGACCCGCCCTGCGGGGCGCCCGCGGCGGCCGCCGGACGGACGTCGGGACTCGGGGGTGGCGGGACTACAACTCCCGGCAGGCCGCGCGGCCCCGGCCCCGCCCCGCCCGTCCCCATTGGCCTCGGGGGCGGGGATTAGCTGGGAGGTGGCCATGGGGCTGCGGCCGGGGGCTGTCCCCTCCTCGGCTTCCGTAGAGGAAGTCGCGCGAACCTGTCTCTGGGATTTCTGCGCCCCCCCTTCCCCTTCCCCTTCCCGGGGTCCGGGGGTGACATTGCACCGCGCCCCTCGCGGGGTCGCGTCGTCCCGCACGCGGACCCCCTGCGGCGCCCCGCGTTCGAGCCCCGGCCGGCCCTGCGCCCCGCCCCCAGCCGCCAGCCATGGGGGCCGCGGTGTTTTTCGGCTGCACTTTTGTCGCGTTCGGCCCGGCCTTTGCGCTTTTCCTGATCACGGTGGCCGGGGACCCGCTTCGTGTCATCATCCTGGTCGCGGGGTGAGTGCGGGTCGGGCAGACGCCTCGGCGCCGACGGGAGGCTCTGGAGGGGGCTGGGGGGCCCGGGCCGGCCCGGGAGCCCGAGTCGCGGGACGCGGTCGGGAAGGTGGCGCCCCGGGTCGGGGTGACCTGCCCTTCCCGCTGCGGCTTCCGCCCTCCGGGGATCGCGCCGGCTCTCGCTCCACTCCGGCGACGTCAGAGGCCCAGGACCTGCGCCGGGAGGGCTGTGCCGACCGCCGTGCTGGCCGCCGCCGGCCCTCAGGGCGGATCCGGCTGGTAGACCTCGTCCTCCCGTGCTCGCCCCCTGGCGCGCGCCGAGGGTCCGCTGACCAGATCGTGCTGCGCCTCTGGCAGATGCCAGCCGCAGGAGGCGGCTCCTGGCGCCTCCCGATCCCCCCGACTGTGGAAGTCTAACTTCCACTTTCCGGGCGGCAGCCTCGGTTGGTTCCCTCTTTCCCTGCCCGCCTGACTGCCCTTGTCTTTCCTCAGGGCATTTTTCTGGCTGGTCTCCCTGCTCCTGGCCTCTGTGGTCTGGTTCATCTTGGTGCATGTGACCGACCGGTCCGATGCCCGGCTCCAGTATGGCCTCCTGATCTTTGGTGCTGCGGTCTCTGTCCTTCTGCAGGAGGCTTTCCGCTTTGCCTACTACAAGCTGCTTAAGTAAGAAGATGGGTGGTCTGGAGGGGCGCGGGGCAGAGCCCTTGGAGAGAAGCGGGTGGTGGTGGGGAGCCGTGGCCCAGAGGGAGGACATTAGAAGAGAAGGAGCCTTCCTGCCTTCCCTCATGTGTCCCCTACCCGGTTGCCACCCCACCGCAGGAAGGCAGATGAGGGGTTAGCATCGCTGAGTGAGGACGGAAGATCACCCATTTCCATCCGCCAGATGGCCTATGGTGAGCCAGGGGAGAGGGGCTGGAGGAGGGGGCTGAACGACCCCAGGGAAGTCGCAAACATCCACATGCTCCAAGTTGCTTCTTGATTTCCTTTGTACCCAACTTCCGAGGAGAGGAGGTCTGAAGGGGAGCGTAGGTGTGGGGTGCCGTGGCTGGGACGGGGAGGGTCACGGTCACCTGCTGTAGCCGCCTCTGACATTGATGAGAACCTCCCTCCCCCCAGTTTCTGGTCTTTCCTTCGGTATCATCAGTGGTGTCTTCTCTGTTATCAATATTTTGGCTGATGCACTTGGGCCAGGTGTGGTTGGGATCCATGGAGACTCACCCTATTACTTCCTGACTTCAGGTAAGGTCCGCTTCCTGTCGTGCTTCACGCCCACCCACCCCTGGCTGGTGTGGTATCAGCCCTCCGGGTTTTCTTGGCTCAGCATCTCAGGAGTGTGGTGAAGGTGAGGGACTGTCTCATCCTCATCTCCCCCTGCAGCCTTTCTGACCGCAGCCATCATCCTGCTCCACACCTTTTGGGGAGTTGTGTTCTTTGATGCCTGCGAGAGGAGACGGTACTGGGCGCTGGGCCTGGTGGTTGGGAGTCATCTACTGACTTCAGGACTGGTGAGTTGGGGACCAGCCCGAGTTAGGGAGGAAAGGATTTCCTGGTGCGTGGGATGAAGGGGGATATGTCCTCTTCTTAGCCCTTTAAAATCTGCTTGGGAAAAGGTGAGGCTTCTGTGGGCTCTCACCTGCCTCGGCTTTCTGGCCTGCCCAGAGAGGGGCTGGGACACATTAACTGGGCAGTAATGCAGCTGGCTTGAGTGAGCAGGAGGCAGGAGACCTCAGGGACCTGAAAGTGGGGAGTCTGCCTCACCACGGGATGTTGGCGCTGTGAGGGCAGGGCGGGGTGGGGGCCGGCCGTGTCTGGGGAGGTCTGCATCAGAGGCACGGAGAGCTACGAGGACTGCGTGGGGAGCTCACCTCTTTTCTGTTCTGCCGCACCCAGACGTTCCTGAACCCCTGGTACGAGGCCAGCCTGCTGCCCATCTACGCGGTCACTGTCTCCATGGGCCTCTGGGCCTTCATCACAGCCGGGGGCTCCCTCCGAAGTGTCCAGCGCAGCCTCTCGTGTAAGGACTGACTACCTGGACTGAGCGCCTGGCAGACCCCGCCTGCCTGCCCACTGCCCATGACTGAGCCCACCCCAGCCCGGTCCTCTGCCCACCACGCTGTCTCCTTCTCATCGGCCTCCCCCACCTCTAGGGCTTTGCTTTGTCCACTCGTGACCGTTGGTCTCTGGGCGTCACCAGGAGCAGCCTGGGTTCAGCCAGTCAGTGACTGGTGGGTTTGAATCTGCTCTCATCCCCCTACCTGGGGCCCCTGTGTCCAGGACTCCCTGCGTGTCAGTGCTCTGCTCTCCCCCGCCCACGACTCACCCCGCTTCCCCTCTGCAGGCCGACGGCAGGAAGACAGTCGGGTGATGGTGTATTCTGCCCTGCGCATCCCACCCGAGGACTGAGGGAACCGGGGGGGCCCCTGGGCCTGGGGACCCTCCTGATCTCCTCGCCCTGTATTTCTCCATCTCCAGTTCTGGACAGTGCAGGTTGCCAAAATGGGCCTAGCCTGGCCTTGCCAGGGGAGGAAGTGGACAGGCCCAGGGTGGAGCACTGAGGCCCAGCAGCCCGCCCGACTGCATAGCTTGATCTTTTTCTCAGGTCCGAGCAGAACTGGTTCTGGGGTGACAGAGACCCCAAATTGCCTTTTTTTTTTGAGTGGGCAGCAGGAGGTGGCACTCCGCTCCCGCCTCCTTGGACAACACTTTCCCTCCTCAGATCGCTCCCGGCTGGGCTCACACCCACCACCCTCCCGCCCGGCCTGGGGGCCTGCATGTGGGGACTGGTATGCTGGAGCTGCTGTTCTAACCTCCCTGACTGCCAGCACCCCTCTCCCAAGGCGAAGTGCAGGGTGCTGTGTGGAGCCGGCCCCAGACCTGCCGTGCGGGGGTCAGCGCGAGACGTTGTGGGGAAGGAGGGCAGACTTTTTCTAGTTTTTAATTGGGGTGTGGGGGGGGGGCGGGAGGTTTTCTATAAACTATCATTTTCTGGTGAGGATGGTGTGTCCCATCCTTTTAATCAAGGTGATTGTGATTTTGACTAATAAAAAGGACTTTTTAATTATGGGGGAACTTGGCTTCTGAGGGAGGGGGTCACGTGGCATCTCGAGGCTCCTGCTCGCTGTTCAGCACCCCCGAACCTGGCCACCTCTGATCCCTCCAAATGCAGCTTCTGTGCAAAGGCCGAATCCTGGGCTGGGCACTGACATGTCAGGTGCTTGGTGTTAAGCACTTTGCAGAGGGGCCCAGGCTGGGAGACAAGGAGGCCCCAACCCTGCTTCTCCCCAGCCCTTTGCCTGCTTCTGCCCCCTGAGGGGGGAAGAGCCCAAAGTCAGGCCAGCGGTGGAGTCAGAAGCTTTAATTTCCACATACATTGAGCGGAAAAACATAACCCCAACAGGAGCTCTTTTTCCTAACGGGGTTCTGCACTGCATCCAGGGAAAGGGTGGAAAGGTGAGGCCCGCGGTCTCTGGGACACACCCAGCTTCTACAGCTCCACCTGCCTGTCCTTTGCCTTGGCAGTTAGGAGCTGGGCTGCAGGCCAGGAGAGGCCGGGGGCCCTGCTCCCCTCCCCTCCCGGCTGCCCCTCGGAAGGGAGCCCAGGGGTAGGCTCTGCCTTCGAGGGAGTTCTCTGGCCACCCTGCCCCCTTTTGGAAACTCCCTGCAAGGTGTGATGGAGGGCGTCCAGGAGGTCCTCAGGGGCCTATGGCTCGGTGACCTGTACTGACGTGAACGCCACGCTCTTCTGGTTGCCCAGGCGCTTTTTCCTGGAAGGGGGTTGGTTGGAGGATGTGAGCAAAGGCCTAGGTGAGCCCCACCTGCCGAGGAGCAGTAAAGTGCTTCACGCACACAGCCGGAAAGCAGGACCTCACCGGATCTTTCTAGCGATGAGATAGGCAGCCAGCAGGAGACAGAGGCAGCCGACCAGGGCGCCCACGCCCAGACTCAGCACCTGGCCTGCGGGAGGAAGGCCAGGTGTGGGCCCAGGCTGCTGCTCCTGGGTCTTCCCTCCCTGTGACCGCCCCGGCCCCTTACCTGTGGTGTAGGAGGACTCCTCTGTAAGGGGAGAAAAGCAGTTAGAAAAGCGGTTAGCGGGAGAAGCAGGGGAGCTCCGGTCCCCTGGGAGGGGCGCTGGTCCCAGCAAGCTCTGGAAACCCCTCCCCTCCTGGTCCTTTCCATCCCCGGGGCTCCCAGTCCCCACTCCTGATCCCCAGCTGCCACCTCCCTTTCCAAGCCCTGTAGGGTCACCTTGGATAAAAGAAGCAAAGATGGTCCGCTGATTGAGGGGCTGGGGGGCCCGGTGGTTCTGAGCCAGGGGCTCCGGGGGCTGCTCCTCCGTGGAGGACAGTGTCTCCTGCAGCGTTTCCAGCTGTGTGCAGAGGGGTGGGGAGTGTCACTTTGGGGGTGGGAAAGGTTAGGGGCTCAGCCTCTGGCTCACCACTCGCCTGCTCCGCGGAAATCTGGGCCCTGTGGTTGAAGACGGTCCAGAGCACGCTCTGGTAGCAGGGCGGCGTGGTGAGGGAGCCGTTGTAGCGGAAGAACTGCCACAGCTGTGTGGGGAGCAGCCCTCTCACATCGAAGGGGGGCACGGAGGTCGTCTGACCTGGAGGAGAGGGACTCTGGGCGCCGACGTCCTCTCCCTGCACCTGGCTCAGGTGGGGGGCGCCCAGGTACCTCAGTCTGACCCCCAAAGTCTAACCTCACTGTGCTCTAAGGCAGGTTTAGGGCTCACCTTTATGTCTGATTTCGTGCAAGTGACTCAGAATGTGCTCGTAAGCTGGGTTAGTCTGGCCCACCTGGCGGGGACAGGAGGTGCCGTGAGCGGCCGCCCTGGGAGGATGCCCAGCAACAGGAGGCAGAATAGGCCTCGGGGTGCCCGGGGTGCGGGGGGCCACTGACCTCGATCAGGACACCCAGGACGGCCAGGCCCTGGGGCTGCTGGGCCGCCTGGCTCAGGCTGTCGTAGGCGGCAGAGTCATAGTGGACGATGTGGAGCTGGGGGAGGGCGGGGCCCGGTCACTGGTGCTGTCCCCCCCACGCTGACCGCGGCACTGACCAGCGTGGCGCAGGTGGTCCCGCAGCGTTCCGCTTTATCCAGTTTCCAAATGCCTGGCGGCGACCAGCCCGGCCCCTTACCTCTGCCGCCGCTGCGAGCCCGTCCAGCTGGTGCTCCGACCCCCCGGGGGAGCCCTTCCGGCCCCAGTGCAGATGCAGCTGGGTGGCCACGTATTTTCCGGGCAGCCCCTCCAGGTGCAGGGCTGGGGGCAGGGAGAGCTGCACTGGGAGAAGAGGAGAGGGCTGGGGCACTGGTTGCACCCGCCCACGCCTGGGGTCGGCGCCTCCCTTCGGGGAGACCCGCCAGGGCCCGCTTCTCCCCAAGGCAGCTGCCTTTGCGGCCACTAGAGAAGGCCCAAGTGTTACCCCCCCAGCAGGCGCACAGGTGGGCACTGGCCCCTGGCCCCCTCGCGCCTCCTGATTCCCGGGAAGTCAGAGTCGGGAGGACGCTCCCGTGACCCCTGGCCTCCGCGGGCCGGGCCGGGGTCTCACCTGTGTGGCCGTTGTTGTGCAGGTCCAGGGCCCCGGCACCAGGCTGGTCATAGCGGGGCTGCAGCATGGGCAGGTCGGGGTCAAAGGTTACGCTGCCAGTCTGGATGTTGACAGGGGATTGGGCGTGGAGTCCGCAGTCTGGGTAAGAGGCTGCCCAGTGGTCCTGACCGTGAGGGCCTGGAAGGTCCCCGCAGACATTGGCGCGGCCTCCAGCCATTGCCCACCAGCCCCCTGCCCCCAGTTACATGCCAGGGTGGAACTTCCGGCCACCGTAGGGGCACCACTCCCGCTGGCCTGGGGAGGCAGGAGCTCCTGCTGCCATCTCCGCCCCGGCCAGCCGTGACACCGGCTCTCTTGATAAGGGGGTGTGGTGGCTTTTCCTCACCTGTGGTTTTTCCTTACTTGTAGCCTGAGAACAGGAAGGCTGAGGGGGGGGGGAAGGCGGCAAGGAGGTGCAGGGGCGGGGCACGCACCTCGGAGGCCCCGAGAGGGTGTCGCACCTCTGCCCTGTCCCCTTGGGGTCTGCGGCCCCTCCCTGCGCTGCCTCCTCTCCCCCTGGGCCTGCACCACTTGGACCAGGGCTCAGGCTTGAGCAGTCCAGAGGGGCTGGGCCTCCCTCCCTGCTGCCTCCGGCTGACCTCTGACCTCAGGGGCCCTCCCCGGGGTCTGCCCACCCGGCCCCTCCCCCACACCATTCACTCCGGATTGAACTGGCTGAGTTGGGGTGAAGGAGCTGATGGTCACAGCAGGGTCTGGAGCCCAGGATGGAAAACCTTGGTGGGGAGGTGGAGCTGGGGGCCGTTCCAGGGGCCTCCCACCACATCCTCTGGCTCCCAGCCGCCTTGGGTTCTGCTTACCCTCATATGTCCAGTGTTGACCTGCAAAGCAAAGTAATCTGAGTTGGAGCTTGGGGCAGGGGCAGCGCTCCCGACCCCCCCCCCACAGCTCGCTCCACCCCCTCGGGCTCTCTCCTCCCTCCACCCCATCTCTTCCCAAAGGAAGGCCTGAAACTGGACACCTCGGTGGAAAGGTCGGGGGCCTATTTAAACGCTCCAGCCAGGCGGTGTTCCCTGAGTTAGGGGGAGGAGAAATGAAAGAGATAAAGGCCGAGACTAAAATTAACCTGGAGCCAAGCGTGCACGCTGCTCCCTGAGCGCCCAGCCAGGCTCACACCGAGATGGGGCAAGTGGGGGGTGCAGGAGGGGCTGCCCGTGGGGGGCGACGCCCCTGAGGGGAGAAGGGGCTTTATTCCCACAGGGGCGTGTAGAGCACAAGGCACCGAGCTGTGCTTGAACAGTCGACCCCCACCAGGTCCCAGTAACTCCAGATGAGACCCCTTGGCCACCGCCTCTGCCCTGACACCCCTGACACCCCGCCTGAAGGCCAGGCAGGGCCAGCCTGTCGGGGGCGGGTGGGCACGGGCGTGCTGGCAGGGAGAGGATGAGAATGAAGCTTTGTCTGTGAAAAAGGGCTGCTGCCCGTCACATGCGGCCGGCCCGGCTGCCCCGTGGGGTCTGCAGTCCCCCTCCGTGAGGGCACGTGTTTCCAGGGGAAAAGGAGGGCCTCACACATTTTTTTCTGCGTGCTTTAACTTGCTAGAAACTAAATTCTTCCTCACCCTCTGTCACTCCCATGAGCCCCCGACTTCTGAGGTGCCCTGGTCTCCCCTGGTCTCTCTCGCTGGCCAGCCCTGGGCTCAGGGGCTCTGCTCTGAAACACCATCCAAGGCCGGATGGGCAGCTTCTCAGGCACCAGCTTGGGCACAATTAGACTTTCCTGCTCCTGTGCAAGCTGCCCGGTCCCTCCCTCCCCCAGCCTCCACTTCCCCCCTTTCTCCTCAGACTCAATTTGCAACTCTTCACCCTCCCCCATCTTCTCCACACCCCCCTTCTGCTCCCCAGACTGGCTCTGGGGGGCACTCCTGGGCGTCTGAGCCTACCTCCACACCCTCATCTCCTGTGACCTCCTGAGAGGACCGACAGATGCTGACTGTTCCCACCACTGCCTCAGGGTAAGCTGGGAAAGTAGTGGCTGCATAGCGTCTAGGGCCCCCCCCCAGGCTGGAGAGCCACGGTGTGCTGGGGCGATGCTGGGGTGATGCTGGGGCGAGGTGGCGGAGGGGCCCCTTGTCTCTCCAGGTTTCCCTCCTCTCTGGGAGAGTTGGCAGGTAAAGAAGGCCGCGAGGGCCGCCTGGGCCTGGGGGACGCAGCTCACCACACTGCACCCGGCCTGCTCTCCTCCCCACCCCGCCACCCGCCTTGGGAGAGGCCTGGAGGAGAGAGGGGGTCTCCCCCAGCCCTGGCTCTACTATTCTAACCCCTGGCTTCCTTTTCCACTCCCCACCCCCACTCAGCAGGCATGGCGGCCGGACTGGGGCACGGACAGACACACAGACACCCGGAGGTACCTACCCCCGTCAGCAGCCAGGATCCAAGTCAGCCCTAGCAGGAGGCCGGAGGCCAGCATAGTGTCCAGGGAGAGGCTGACGGTGGGTGCAGGCTGGGGCGAGGGGCTGGAGGACAGGGGCTGAGGAGGGGCTCTTGGGCTCGGGTGTATTTATCTTTCTCAGCTTCTCGCTGCCTCGGTGCTTCGGGGTAGCTGCTTCAGGGGGCACCGGGGCTTCGGGGGCCCCAGGACAACTCTTTCTGCCTCTCCCGCTGCCCTCCTTTTATCTCCTGCAGTCTCTTCTCCACTCGCTGGCCAGCAACTTCACAGTCGCCGCCCGCTTTTAAGGTGGCTCTGGACGGGTGTGCGTGGGGAGGGGGGCAGCCGGGCTGCTGGCGAACAGCTCCTTAAATAGCCCATTAGGCATGCGGGCCACAGGAGCCGCTGCGCTGGAGACCTGCCGGCAGGCACAGCACGCAGCTGGGGCGCTCTTCCTTCCTCTGCGCTTCAGACTCCGCTCAGACCCGGCCCCTGGGGCAGCCGGGCTGGAGAAGGGGCTCTGGGCCCGTCCAGCCCTCAGAGTGGCGGGGTCGCCTTCCCGCCTGCTTCTCTGAGGAGCAGCCCCTGCGGGCTGGGCCGACGGCTCCCAACCCCTGCAGAACTGTGCTAGAACACGAGTTGAAAGTTAGGGAATAGGGGGCCGAGGAGCTGGGGGTTGGGGTGCAGGTGGAGGGCAGGCCTTCAAGGAGGAGGCCCTGGGCTGTGGAAAAAAAGCCCCGCTGCCAGGAGCCCCGCTTCGCTGCGGTCCCTCTCCTGGCCCGCCACCCCCTTCCCACAGCGGCCACGTCCACGTGCTGAGCGGCCTGGGTGGGGGGTGGTTTGTTTGCTGGATAAAGCCCATTTGTGTGCCCAGCGGGGGAGGGGCGGCGGCACCACGAAGAGCGGGCGGCTCCAACTGCCAGCCCCAGGCACCTCCCTCCCCAGGGAGCGCAGATCTGGGGCGGCTTTTGTCACCGCAGAGGACACTGACCCCTGGCAGGGAGGCCAGGTCGCGAGGTTGCGAGACAATCACTGCACCATCCAGAAAAGGTGGCCTCCAGGGACCGGAGGGGAGCAGAGACCACGTGATGCAAGCGGGGCCGGGGTCTCCCCCGCGACAAAGGGCCGAGGCGCCTGCCGAACCCCGCACGCCGGAGCGCAGCGGCCGCGGGCTCCGGAATGTGGGCTGGAGCCTGCGCCCCACGGGACTGGAAATCCCGGCCGGAATGTGCCTCCCAAATCCCTCCTCTTAGAACGTGAAGCCCACGGGTCACTCCCGCCAGGCCGGAAAGCGCCGTCTCCCCCAGGGCCTCCCCAGTCCTCAGCCCCGGTTCCGCGCCGTCGGGGCCCCCTCCGGCTCCTGCCCAAGCGCCACAGACCGTGGAGGCGGGGGTCCAGAGCTGGAGGGGTGGGGGCAAGAGCCCGGCGACCAGAATGGCGGGGTGCTGGGTCCTCGCCCGCGGAGGCTGGAGCCCGGCACGCCCGTCCTGGCCTTTGAGAGCCTCCCGTCGCGCTTCCGAGCGCTTTTCCGTCGCGCAAGTTCTGTGTTTGAGGTGCCCGAAAGCCCCATCTCTCCCCCCCATACAGTCAGGGGCTTAAAGGGCAAATCAGGTCTCCCGGGAACCCGTGACAACGGGCAGAAGGGCTCGTCGCGGGCCGGGCAGGGTGACCGGGGACGCGGCCCTGCGCCCCGGGGCCCCGCGGGCAGGTGCGCGCCGGCCGGGCGCCACCCCCTGGCTCGCCCACGAATTTTAATTTATGCAGTTTTAATTTAAAATGTTTTGGAATCGTCTCCCCGAGGGTGGGCTTGGGGATCGGCCCGCACAATAGCACATTGTCTCCGCGCACGCCCCGGTCGCACCGCACCCCCACTGCGCGGCCAGCCGGCCAGGCCCCGCGCGTCCCGGGACAGAGGTTCCCCTCCGGGAGGGGCCCGCGCCGCCCGATTCGCTCCGATGTCACTGTGGGCAGTTCTCAGCGCCACGCTCATCTGGAGGCGGCGTCAAGAGCGCCCTCCCATGCTCACTGCAGGATAAGAAGGGGCCCCGCCCGCTTCCATTCGAGCTCAACCTTTGTCTGCCGCTTTCGCGCCCCCGCGCCCCGCGCCCCGCGCCCTCGCAGCCCGAGTCCGCGGGGCAGAGGCTCTGCGGCCTCGGGCGCCACCTGCCGGCCCCGCCGTGCGCGCAGGGTGGACGCCAGGGGCCGGGCCCCTCTTCCAAGGTCATTTCAAAAACAGACGTTCAGCTCACCCCGAAAAACACTCCACAGAGAGCCCCTTAGTGCCCGGTTTCGTGGGGGCTAGGAGCGTGCGGGCGGAGAGGAAGCAGCACGGCCACTGGGCACGGAATTAGATGGCGATGTGCTCCAGGCCTCGCGCCGAACCAAGCAAGGTGGGCTGCGGGCGCCCCCTCCGCCAGGCGCTCGCCCGGGCCCTCGCGTGTGCCTGACACGCGGCAAGCTCCTGAGCAAACACCGAAACACGCGAGAACTAACGTCCGGATAATTGGAGGGGGGTGACAACCCTTGGGGTATTTCCACGTTTCCCGTTCACACTGCGGCAGGAGGACCTGGTGGACACAGGTGAAGGCGCCGCCCACCATGTGGCCGCAGTTCAGAGAACCGTGGCCAGCAAGGAGCGGCTGTGGGCTCCACCGACGCCAGGCCCAGCGGGCGCTGACGATGCCCGCTGAGAGCCAGCGCCCACGCTGTGCCCAGCCGCCTGTGCATAGCTTAGCGACAGCTTCCGTGGTTTACCGCCACTCGTGGACTGAATGCTACCTGCAGGCCACGGGCTCCAAGTAAAACAAGCGTTAAGGGCTCCCTGGAGGCCTTGACCGCTGGGTCCAGCTCGATGAAGCAGTCACTGAGCACGCGTCCCATCCCCCGCCAGGGAGGGGCCCCAGGGTGCAGCAGGCCTCCCATCTCCCGCTGTCCCCTCGGCAGTGGGTTGCAGTGGCTCCTCTTGTTCTGCTCCCCACTGTCTCTGGGGCGGCCCAATGCAATGGCTGAGCAAAGTGTAGTGGGAGCCAAGGGTGGGCAATAGCCAGTGAGAGTTTAGCCTGAGAGCAACAGTCTTTCCACAGGGTGGGAGCAGAACCAGGTCCCAGGGTTATAGCTGAGAACATAAATGCTGCCACTCCCCGGCATGTCCCTGGCCTGGGGTGACACCAGCGGGCAGGTCATGTCCAAGCGTGTTAAATCATTGCATTTAATAAACTCGGTGTAGTTAATAAACGGCCTCCTCTGCTGCAGCCGGGAAGAAGGACCCGTCCCGGAATTGTAACTGACCTGGACGCTGGTGGCCAGGTCATCTGCTGCTCCTCTCTCTTGCCCTCGAGTTCTCTGCCACACACTGAACTCCAGCGAGGGCCCAGCCCCAACCCAAGCGAGAGTAACACATCTGTCACTTCCCTTCCATGGTGAGAAGCTTTTTAGTTAAATGTTTTCCTTTGTTTCTGAAGGCGCTGGTATGTCTGAATCCCTCTAGGAATGGAACCAGAAGATAATACAGCAAAATCTGTGACAAGGAGTAGCTCACTTTTGCTTTAAGCCATCCCCCCAATAAGCAGTCTGTTCTCAGATGCTGTGCGGCATGGGTTTCTCAGAAACCTTATATGGAAAGAGTTGTAGTGTCTGATGGACACCCAGGGGCTTGCTTTTTTTTTTTTTTTAAGATTTTTTTATGCATGAAAGAATGGGGTACAGGCCAGAGGTTGGGGTTGGGGAGGAGAGGACTCCCCAGAGATAGAGTGGGAGCGGAACAGGCAGATGGACTGAAATCCACTGCTGAGGGAGCAGCAAGGAGACAGAGGTCTGCTGCACCCTGGGGTCCCTCCCTGGCCGGGGGTTGAACTGCTGCAGCAGCTGCAGATGGTAGTTGCTTTCAAAAAATACAATTTTTTTAAAGATTTATTTATTTGTGCATACAGAACTGGGGTACAGGCCAGAGGTATGGTGGGTGAGAGGGTTCACCAGAGACAGAGCGGGGAGCAGAACAGGCAGATTGACAAAGTACACTGCCGAGGGGAGCAGCGGGCGGGTCAGGAGTGGCCCTGTGGGTCACTCCTGCAGTGGCTTAGGAGAACTTCATAATTTGGTGCTTTAACCCATTGCACCACCAGGGAGAGCCCCATAACAATACAATTTTTAACAGGATGTTTGAGTCTTGAATGGTAGAGACTTGGCCAAGGTCACATAACTATCACTAAAACAAAAACAAAAGCAAAAAATGAGGCTTTGACTAATCCCATGCTCAACAAGTGTTAAGGTGCAAAAAAAAAAAAAAAAAAAAAAAAAAACACAAACAAGAGGCCCTCCCTGGTGGCGCAGCGGGTTAAAGCACAGCACTGAGAAGCTAAAGTGGCTTCCGTATGAGTTTGATCCCCGCCTGCCCCGGAGCTGACCCCCAGGGCGCGGCAGACCTCTCCTGGCCTGCCCGCTGCTCCCCTCAGCAGTGGACTTGTCGATCTGCCTGCTCTGCTCCCCACTCTGCCTCTGGTGAAGCCTCTCACCGCCCCTGCACCTCTGGCCTGCACCCCAGTTCTTGTATGCGTACATAAATAAAACCTTCAAAAAAAAATTGTCATCAGCTGAGACTGCAGAGTGTCACATAGTGGCCGTCTGGTCCCATGCCCTGCTTCTGCGCGCTCCCACTTGGTATTGTTCTTTCTGTCCAATTTTTGTTCTCTGACAGAACAATCCTCCCTTTAGAATATTCTTGTCCATATATGTATTTAAACACTCCAATTGTTTGCTAGATTAGAAATCCAAGAGATATATACCCCAGTTTTGTAGCATAAATAAATCTTTAAAAAATAATAAAATAAATAGATTTCACGTTAAAATATTCTTCTAACTCATTCTTGTTTTGGGGTGTAACGTGCACGCTGTGAGACCCATCCGTTTTCAGGTGCAGCTACATGAGTTTTGACCAAACTCCAGGGGCGTCCAATCCACCTCTGCAGAGGGAACAGGCCCCTCCCATCCCCCCCCCCTTTGTAGTGGCTTCTCTTCCCACACTTTGACTTTGCTAACCACTGATCTGCCCCTGGCCCTGTAATCTTGCCTTTCCCAGAGTGTCTTGGGTGTTAAATTACATCGCAGGCCCGCCTTTGAGTCTGGCGTCTTTCCCTGCGCTTCATTCATGTTGTGGGGATCAGAATCCACTTCTTGCCGTTGCTGGATTTCCACTGAACGCAGAGACCAGATACAGTTCTGTTTACCTGCCGAAGAGCATGTGGGTTGTTTTCAGTGTTCAGAAATCCTGGATAAAAACCTCTATAAACAGAACTCTCCCTGGTGGCGCAGCGGGTTAAGGCACTGGGAAGCTAAAGCCATGTCAGCATGAGTTCGATCCCCCCCCCCCAGGTGACCCCCAGGGCACGGCAGACCCCTCCTGACCCGTCTGCTGCCCCCTCGGCAGTGGACCCTGTCAGTCGGCCTGCTCTGCTCCCCGCTCTGTCTCTGATGAATCCTCTCACCGCCCCTGCGCCTCTGGCCTGTACCCCAGTTCTAAAAACCTCTATAAACAGTTGAGGACTGGTTTTGAGTGGACA